AAAAAAAAAAGGCTGGTATTTATAGAAAAAAATTCATTAATTTTTGGGTATTTTTTAAAAAAATTTCCGAATTTTTTCCAGTATTTTATGGCAAAAAAATTGGCTGCTGTTGGATTGGAGGAAAAAATCAGATCGGAGAGCCCAGACGACGCCACGTGGCAACAGGAAAAAAAAATCAAATCAGCGATACTGTAGCGGGTACTGTAGCGTTACTGTAGTAGTTACTGTAGCGCTACAGTACCCCCCCTCGTTTTGGACCTGGGGCGAAAGTTGCCTTCAGGCCAGCCCGGGTTGGTGGGTCCCACACCCCCCCCGGGGCCTGGGCTGCATGGCTGGAAGCAGATTTTTGTTTTTTTCCCCCCTCCCCTCGGGCTGGGCTGCATGGTTGGAATAGCTCTTAGATTAGATCCAAGAGTGAGTGATCAAAACTTCCTTTGACCCTTAGGAAGAAGGAAAGTCACGGTTTTTTCAATACATTGAACAAATAAAATATATAACTTATTGAATAAACAAATAACCACTTATTTGTAAAATAAATAACTCAAAGAAATCTCTTGCATTACTTGTCCAAAGAAACCAGAGGGTTCCATGTTTTTAATGGTAATTAATGGCATTACAAATATATCATAAGGATGACATTATAAACAGGGAGAAAAATAAGGAAGGGTAGTAGAAAGTACATGAGGTTCACACAATAATAATATCCAGACATCCGCATAAGACCGCATAAGAGAATTTATATATATATATATATATATACACACACACACATACATATACAGGGAGCTCAATTAAAGGTTTATTTGAGGAACACCATTGTAGGGCCCACTTTGTATTGTATTTCACTAATCCAAACTGTATGCTTTGTAAATATTCATTCAAACATCATCTCTACAAAAAATCACTTGGATCCAATATCATATGACCACTCAATTGAAATATTAAAATTTTAGTACTTTCTTGAAGCACCGTGTTCGTTGATTTTGTAGGACACAATTGGATGTTGAAAAGGTTTCTGATTTGTCTAATATTTTGCAAAGATGATCTATGAATGTAGACGTAAAAAAATAGATGGTTTGGATTGTTGAAAGAAAATTTGTAATCCCTCAAATAAAGTTATTTGAGGGATCCCTCAATAGAAGGGGTTTAGGATATTATTTTTGTTTTTTGATCTAAAATATTAACTTTATTTTTTGATCTATTCCCATTTGGGTTCTTAAATTTGTAGTTTGATTTGAGTATTGAAATTTCTTACATGAGTTAAATAAACACAATATAATATAAAAAGGTTTCGAAACTATATGAAAAATAAGTTTCAAGAGGAAAGACAAAAGTTGACTAAGAACTAATTGGTTAAATACCAAAGTTGATCATATACTTGTGCCAAATGGTAAAGGGAAATAGTGCAAGTTAACAACACACAAAGAGAAGTTACCCTTACATCCGAAGTCCTGCATTCGAAATCTCACCTCCCCCAATATCATTTGTGTGTTAATAATAACAAGACTAAAAAGACAAGGCATAAACATGTATATAGAAATATATCATTGTACGTAGCAGTTTCTCATAAAATTTATAGGAAAATTACAAAATGGACTGAAACATTATAAGGAAAGGATTAACATAATGAGTTACTGCATGGGTGGTTGTGAGGATGAAGAATGGTTGCGCATAACCTCGCTTGTGAGCATTCAACTCTTGAAGACGGCCTTGGGTGGATGAAAGCCTTTTTCTACCAAAGGCATGCCAAAAAAACAATAACTAAGACTCCCGAAATTAATAATACAAATTTATAAATAAACCCAATTCTAGACATGTATTTATAAAAAAACCCAAACACTATTTAAACATAGAAACACACCCAAAATCAACCCCAAAATCAACAATTGTATATTTTTTGGGTGTGTTTATAAATGGGTTTTGAGTGTGTGTAATGATGGGTTTTGGGTGTGTTTATAAAGTGTTTTGGGTGTTGGATTTTTTTATAATTTCAGCCCCCATTTTGGGTGTTTTAGTGAAACTCCCAATTAATAACAAATGACTAATTTTGGTGATCAATAATTTCACATTGGATATCATGCTTCCATTGATTCAAATGCTAGCCAATCATGTTAAGTTTTATTTTATTAGTAACTATGGAGAATATTTGTAACATAAATAAATAAATAAAACCATCTGCCATAACAAAATTGGTGTTCCCTTATAGAAATAGCAAACTAACAGAGTTGCTCCAAGATTCACTTGGTAAGTTTAACTACTACATGACTTCTTGAGAATGGGCATGCATTTTGTCTTTAGCCTTAGATTATCCAAGAAAATTTGATTCTGACCCTTTGTTTGTAATCATATTTTAGGTGGACAAGCCAAGACACTTATGTTTATTCACATAAGTC